CTCTCTCTCTCTCTCTCTCTCTCTCTCTCTCTCTCTCTCTCTCTCTCTCTCTCTCTCTCTCTCTCTCTCTCTCCTCTCTCTCTCTCTCTCTGTTCTCTCTCTCTCTCTCCCCTCTCTCTCTCTCTCTCTTCCTCTCCCTCCCTCTCGCCATCACGCGCACTCGTCTCGCCGGCTACTCTCGTTGCTATGGGACGCAGGAGCGCAGTTACGGCGTGTCTGCGCAATTTTAAGTGATTAGAATGACGTCTGGGGTTCGCGGCCGAGTCGGTCATGATTGCATTAGATCGATTAGTCGTTGGACGTTGATGAGTTGTGTGTGCGTGTGTGTGCGTGTGTGTGTGTGTGTGTGTGTCAGTGTGTGTGTGTGTGTGTGTGCGTGTGTGCGTGTATGTGCGTGCGTGCGTGCGTGGGTGCGTGCGTGCGTGCGTGCGTGCATGCATTCGTGTGTGTGTGTGTGTGTGTGTGTGTGTGTGTGTGTGTGTGTTGGTTGCGTGTGTGTGCGTGTGTGTGCGCGTGTGTGTGTGTTTCTGTATGTGCGTGTGCGTGCATGCGTGCGGGCGTGCGTAGGTGTGTGCGCGTGAGTGCGTGCGTAGGAGTGAGTGTTACTTCTTATCGCAAACCGTGAGCAGGTCTACACGGTCACACGTTCTATTTAGTCACTGACTCGATCACTCAGTCACTCATTCGTTCATTCATCCAGTCACGCTGAACTTAAGCTCGAAAACAACCGAAAAATGTTCTAGAAAGACGCAAACAGAAACGCTTTCAGAAGAACTAGCGCGTCGTTTGAGTTCACGTCGTATTGACATTCCACGCAGCAGTGTTAGACTAATCCTCCCGGTTCTTTTCAACGTCTTACTTCCACGCAAATATTCTCACATTAGGAAGAAAAAATGGGACAAAACGTGTCGATGAGCGATAGAAGCAATATACTAGATAGTTAACCTCTTATTCTCTATATTCTTATTAGTCTCTCAACGCGTTTCTATGAGGTGGACATCCCATTGATGTAGATGTCTTCGTATTGCATGCTTGCAGCCACATGTTTCTATTGGTGCGAGTATATTTTTGGTTCATTGCTTATGCGCATAGATATCTATTTTAGATTCAGCAACGTTCTGTTTGTCGTCGGAAAAATCAACCAAGCAAAGAATTACACGTCCAATTAGTGTCTCTCAGACGCGTGTGTATGTTTGTGCGTGGCTCCCAAATGTTCTACCCAAATAAACATGTTGCAGAGAATGCATGGAGCATAATATATAGAGTGCATTGAATGCATGTTGTATGAAACATGTCCCGATCGAATAGATTGTCCTTATTTAGTTGTACATGAACTAGTGTAACATATTAGTTATAATATTATATTCATTACGTTATAGCTATTGAATAACTTAGTTATTTGTAACATTAACTGACATTCAACATAAATAGGAGAGCATGTTCTGCTGGAATTGTTGGAACGGATTGTCCTCATTAAGTTTTACATCGGTTTAACGTTTCACGATTGTACGTGGACACGAATGTTAACGCAAATTTCTGCAAGGCTACTTGTTTCGATATTTAAATTAACACAACTTACCATCTTTAATATTTTTGTATTTATAATATCAGTAGTGTATACATATAAATAAAAATCATACAACAATAATACATATCAATAAAAATGTGGAGGCTGATTAATAATTGTATCTCTTATATATATATATATATATTTATAATTTTTATTGATTGTGAGAGCAATGTGTGGGCGAGGCCGCAAGCTTAATAAGAATTGGCATTTGCGTATGCGCTTTTCCTACAGATCTTCCTATTTAATTATACCCATCTCTAATTACTACACCCTCTAAGATGAGAGCGGTGGATGTTTATTGATGCTGAGTCATAATTGATCCAGTAGTACGGAGTAGTGCGGTTAGTCTGTGTAGCATTGGCTTCGTGTGACGTCGGTGCTGTACGTAATATTGATAGCTATATGGATTAACACACACGTACACAGAGGAAAGCACGCACGCACGCACGCACGCGTGCGTGCACACACGCACGCACGCACGCATGCATGTACGCATGTACGCACTCACGCACGTGCCCGCACAAATACAAACACATGCACCCGTGCACGAGGGGACGCGCACACACTCAGACGCACGCACGCACGCACGCACATACGCACGCACGCATGCACAAAAACAGGTGGCATTGCGGATTATCTCGTGTTACATAGGTTACTGATTGTGTCCGCTAATAAACGAGTAGCTTCCCTGACATGCTGTCATTCTGGTGAGGTGGTCATTAACTTAATTACGCCCACTTATGTACGCACGCACGCACACACGCACGCACGCACGCACGAACAAACGCGTACACACACGAACAAACACGTACACACGCGTGCGCATGCGCCCACGCACACACATATAGGGTACTGAAAATGTAGTTGGGTTACTTTATATATATATATATATATATATATATATATATATATATAGTTCTTTAACTTCTCGATATTAGCATACCTTACGAAAATCTGTCCATGCCTAACTAACATCAACACCTGCAGCTGCGCGCCCCACTAATTATTCCCCCAGGTATTCCCCAGGTATTGTTTCACTCTGCTTAATGTAGCACCAGTGCAAATATATCAATCTAATCCACCCATCTTCGGATCGTGCCGCCATTCAGGATGAATTAATCATACATCCGCCCGCCAGACTGTTGTGTCGCGTGAGGCGTGTGGACTATATATATATATATTATATAATTATATATATATATATTATATAGAGAGAGAGAGAGACGACGAGGAAGAGACAGAGAGAGACGAGAGAGAGAGAGACAGTGGAGGGAGAGAGCAGAGAGATGCTTCCGGGCGGTTTTCTCGTCCGTGTGTGCGTACAGTACGCGCTCTCCCAACAGGATATGGATTAGGTGGGAGAAGTCAGGTGACAATGGAGAGAGGACGCTATAGTACTGATATCTACACAGGCGAGACTGCGCGGTGCCTGGCTAGTAAGCACACCTGGACCAGCCCGTCAGAACGAAAACTAAGGCCCACGCGCATATATATATTGATATGAACACTAGTATATAGCGCGTATATTATCATAGTCATATTATTTATAATAATATATATATATAGGAGCATGGTGGGAGTGACACAGCTGGGCTATTGTGTGAATGAGGCTATTCACGGGGGAGTGCTACACGTCCACCTTGTTTTTTTCTCCCCAATATTATTTTCAATCGCTGAATTTTATGATAGGTCAACCGACGTTCACTTGGCCCACCGATTTCGACATTATTTACATCGTTGTGGAAGATGGTGAGGGCGTCCACGTTCGAGAGAAGCCTACAAACAGATTATTTCCACATGGCCGTCGGGTTTATGCTGGCGCGTTGGTTCGGGTTGGCCCGCGAAGTGGTGCGACGAACTGTTTACGAGTCGTTGTTTGTTTACGTTGACGCGTCTGCTTGTGTTATATGTCCGACTAGCTGAAGTGGCCATCTGCTTATTTTCCAGCCCCGATTCATCTTTCGCTAAAACTACTGGAATGTTGCGCAAGAACGTTGTATATTGTATAGAACTGCTACCACAAGCTTTATTGTCGTGTTTGTATATATACCACGTTGATTGAAATCGTCAAGCACATAAAAGTCGCTATTTGGAAATTGTAAACGGTTTAATTGGCAGTGAATTGAGATGCATGGCTGTGATGAAGTTTGTCTCGTATACGTAGTTTTTGCATTTAGATTGAGCGTTTTAAATCGTTACGCGTTGGGATATATTCTCGAAACAACTTTTGCATTGAACATGGGCGCGATTTCAATTTATCCCGCATATGATTTGAAGTAGTGATATATCATGGTGACAGTGACACCATGCACCCGTTACCATGCGGTGAACGCTACTAAATGGTAAACGATAACGAAAACTTATAAAACGTATAAATCGTATAGAATTTATCGGATTTTCTGACGAAAGGTCCGAGCAAAGCAAGCGTAAGCTAAGCAACAGCTTTCCTTTATTGTACATTAAGCACTGTAACTATAACTTCACTTCGATTTACATTTCTTCAAAGCTAGACAGCATTGTAACTTATGTACCGTACGACTTGTTGCACTCTACCTTCAATTCGTTTTACGAATTTGCAGTGATCCACGAAAGGTCCGAGCACGGCAAGCGTAAGCAGCGGCTTTGTTTATTACACATTCAAAAAATTACACGTTAACTTCATTTCGTTTTACGATTTTGCAGTGATCCAAGATGGCTGAAGGAAACCACGACGAGAAGCAGACTTTGCATGGCAATTTCACAGCCTATGCAAAGTTCGGCGATCACAAATCGACAGGCAAGACGATGACAAGTAAAAACTTTGATAAGTGGCTTAAGGAGAGCAAAGTGCAAGACGGAAAGAAGGTCAAGTCAACAGATACAGACATTGCATTCACCAAGGTTCTAGGCAAGAAACCAAAGTAAGTAAATCAGCAAGCTAGAAACAAGAAACGGCGGTTTTGAATTGTTGATGTTTGACCACACGATCGTTCTGGGGGCTTTTAAGTGCTGACGTTTCAAGTGCATTTATCCGATTCATGTTCATATATAAAATCCAAAATAGATGATACTAACCTTAAGTTATCTATATTTGACAAGAATGATACACGTTACATGCATTCATTAGCATATTGTACGTGATGTCCCGCATATATTTAGAAATGACAATTTCTAATTAGTCTTTTTCGTAATTGTTTCAAATAAATTTTACGAAAAAGCAATTAGACACAATATTGGGTGAGCAAATGTTCCAACAATCATCTTGTGATGACATCTCGGGTTTTAGAGGTTCCCAAATGCCCAAGCATCTATCATCCTCGCTGTTGCATACGTGCGCGGAATCACGGTTTCATAACCTTTAAGGTTTAAATAGCAGAACTTCACATCGATTATTTTACGTTGCATACATTCGTACACGCTCTACGTACGTACGGGCTTATCACAATAAAACTACATACTACAAATATCCGTCATCCTGCAAATATTTCGGCAAAATAGGTAATGAAAACATTCACAACTGGACTAGCGCAAGCTTCGCATGCTTTTCGGTATAAAACCGCATACTACAAATATCCCGCATCACGCGAACCTTTTTAGCAAAATGGATAATGAAAACACAGCCATGCGGGCGGTATAGCGTGTATGTGTAACTTTACCCCCGTGGTCTGCAAACCGTCTGGCTGGCTACACATTGCCTATTTACCGATGTGCCTGGAAATCACTGAAAGTCCCAGTGACCTTTTTTTACTGGGTTTAGCGTAGATGTGAGAGTAAATTGTTCTGACAGAAGGTGATAAACCGCTTACACGAATTTTGAAAGGATGCGTGACCGCGGAATTGATTCTGGAATAAAAACAAGTTGCCAACTTAATTTTTGTTCGTGAAATCTCAATTAGCGTAAGCAGGTTACGCGCTACAATGCTTATTTTTATCACTATTGGAGATGAAGTCTAATTTATTGTAATTGTAGAAAGACAACAAAATTATCAACATTCTAAAAGGAGTAAAAATGAACAAACATTTCGCTGTGTGTGATGCAGTTGCACGAACGCGTGCGTATTTAGACTCCAATGTGTCTCTGAAAAGTCTACATGCCGCAACGCAACATGCTATCGGAAAAACCTTCGCCCCTTTGCACTTGATCATAAATAAAATAAATAATTAAATGGACTCGTTCAATAAAATCATCAAACACATTAGTTATCATAGAAAAAACGCAATCGCTACGAGCATACTTTCATGCAGTGAGTACGTGCGAAAACAAAAACAAAACTCTTTATCAACGGGTGTGATATACTCTTGTCAATGCTTAATTTCGTGATTTTTTTGCTTCTCGCCAGGGGAACGAAAGTGATAGAGTTCAGCGACTTGGAGCAATGCTTAGATGAAATCGCCGGACACATTTCCAAGGTGGAGGCAAAGAAGAAGGAGGCCCCGGAGGAAGAGGTTAAGAAGGAAATCATTGACGAAATGAAACAGAAACTGACGGACTGTAATCATCCAGGACTGAAGGGAACGACTGTAAGTATGTGAGAGAAATGACTGTGAGTATACGTGACTGGACAAAAATGTGAGAAATTTCTGTGAGTATACGTGACTAAAAGAAAATGTGAGAAAAGACTGTGTATACGGAACTGTAAGAATACGTGAGAAATGCCTTGATTATACATGAGGTACAACTCACATAGGTATGTGCGAGAGCTGCCTCTGAGTACACGCTAGGTACTACGCTGCAATACGTTATGAACGACGAGTGGCTAAATATACAGATTTAAGGTTTAAAAGGTTTAATAGGTTTAAAGATAGATGATCCCCAGTCTGGTTGATAGATGCGCATTATCAGCATAAAAAATATCCGCTATGACCTTCACAAAAAACATTTTATGGTCAAAAGAGTAGATGATCTTCGTAGAGATAAGCCTCTTCTACAACAAGTTATATTTGCCCACATTATGAAATAATCGCAAAACAAATGAAAATGGTAGAAAGTAAAAAGTATAAATAAACGATGACCCACGCAATTACCATCCGAAACCATCCGATATAATTAAATTCAATGTAATCTAATGAAGAAGTTAGCAGAATGATGAATGAAGAATGATTAGTTTTGCATGACCGTTAGTATTTACTTTCTCGCTATTGCCGTAGACTGGAGACATTAACTGACTGGAACCTGTTGTATAGAAGATTAAGGCATTCCCCCGAGGCTGTTTCAAATGGAAAGGCAAATATGATCTACAAAGCGCACATGTAACTACTAAATCTCTAATACCAATATGGGCGTTGTGAATGTCGTTACACATCGTCAGTGCCAGCACCAAAGTGGGATGAATGAACACTCTTCTACGCGCATATACGACGGAGAACACCCGGTTGATCAATTACGCTGTACATCATATACATCATGTACCAGCAGATGCAAAGGCGTGTCAGAATGGAGAGTAAATTCATTAAATGGGAGTATAGAAATTCAATAAATGTCAGGGTTAGGGAAGCTAGCATGCCATTATAACGCCGTTGCGAAGCCATGTTAACTCCTGATGTTAATAACCCACGTTTATCACAAAAACTTTAAAAAAACTAAAATTAACTAAAAAAAACTCAATATTAAACTCAATATTTAGAATGCATTCAATTCGATTAGTCGACCACACACACACACACACACACACACACACACACACACACACACACACACACACACACACACACACACACACACACACACACACACACACACACACACAC